AAACGATAGATTTACTAACACTTAAGAGTTTATTTATACTTTCATCAAGTATAACATAAGATTTTGTGGTATCCACTAGTGTAAATATTTTAAATTGAAGATCGAATTCATTCATTGTATTCATTTAGGGTCAAGGAGTGTAGCTGTAAAAATTCATCAAAATCGGAGTTAAAATAACCGTTAAATCGTAATTTTTCGTTTATAACCGTCGAAAAGTTTTGTCTCATTACTTGATCTCTGAATGTTTGTTTTTTTGCAATTTTTTGCGTATGCGATCTCGAAGCATATATAAACAAGTTTGACGGTTGGATCGTTGAAATTAGTTTCGTAGAATGTGTATCCCATCAAAACGATAGATTCACTAACACTTAAGAGTTTATTTATACTTTCATCAAGTATAACATAAGATTTTGTGGTATCCACTAGTGTAAATATTTTAAATTGAAGATCGAATGCATTCATTGTATTCATTTAGGGTCAAGGAGTGTAGCTGTAAAAAATCATCACAATCGGAGTTATAATAACCGTTAAATTGTGATTTTTCGTTTATAACCGTCGAAAAGTTTTGTCTCATTACTTGATCTCTGAATGTTTGTTTTTTGCAATTTTTGGCATATGCAATCTCGAAGCATATATAAACAAGTTTGACGGTTGGATCGTTGAAATTAGTTTCGTAGGATGCGTATCACATCAAAACGATAGATTCACTAACACTTAAAAGTTTATTTATACTTTCATCAAGTATAACATAAGATTTTGTGGTATCCACTAGTATAAATATTTTAAATAGAAGATCGAATTCATTCATTGTATTTGTTTAGGGTCAAGGAGTGTAGTTGTAAAAAATCATCAAAATCGGAGTTAAAATAACCGTTAAATCGTGATTTTTCGTTTATAACCGTCGAAAAGTTTTGTCTTATTACTTGATCTCTGAATGTTTGTTTTTTGCAATTTTTGGTGTATGCGATCTTGAAGCATATATAAACAAGTTTGACGGTTGGATCGTTAAAATTAGTTTCTAAGATGCGTATCCCATCAAAACGATAGATTCACTAACACTTAAGAGTTTATTTATACTTTCATCAAGTATAACATAAGATTTTGTGGTATCCACTAGTGTAAATATTTTAAATTGAAGATCGAATTCATTCATTGTATTTATATAAGGTCAAGGAGTGTAGCTGTAAAAAATCATCAAAATCAAAGTTAAAATAACCGTTAAATCGTGATTTTTCATTTATAACCGTCGAAAAGTTTTGTCTCGTTACTTGATCTCTGAATGTTTGTTTTTTGCAATTTTTGGTGTATGCAATCTCGAAACATGTATAAACAAGTTTGACGGTTGGATCATTGAAATTAGTTTCATAGGATGCGTATCCCATCAAAACGATACATTAACTAACACTTAAGAGTTTATTTATATTTTCATTAAGTATAATATAAGATTTGTGGTATCCACTAGTGTAAATATTTTAACTTGAAGATCGAATTCATTCATTGTATTCATATAAGGTCAATGAGTGTAGCTGTAAAAAATCATCAAAATCGGAGTTAAAATAACTGTTAAATCGTGATTTTTCGTTTATAACCGTTGAAAAGTTTTGTCTCATTACTTCGTCTCTGAATGTTTGTTTTTTTTCAATTTTTGGAGTATGCGATCTCGAAGCATGTATAAACAAGTTTGACAGTTGGATTGTTGAAATTAGTTTTGTAGGATACGTATCCCGTCAAAACGATAAATTCATTAACACTTAAGAGTTTATTCATACTTTTATCATTTTGATGGGATACGCATTGATGTTATACTTAATGAAAGTATAAATAAACTTTAAGCGTTAGTGAATCTTATCGTTTTGATGACTTGGAATAAATATATTTTAAGTGTTAATTAGACTATGTTTCAATTAGTATGTGATGATATTTAATAATAAAATTACATTTATGTTTTTTATTACGTATTTTATTTTTATTCAAGTTAAAATGTTATAAGAGATAAAAAAATAAAAAAAAAAAGCTGGTTATTTTTTTTCTTTGGGTTAAACATTAGGCGGGAAATGGATGGATGTAGGTTGCAAAATTTCCCAAACATTAGGTGGGAAATGGATGAAACTCTTGAAATATTAGGTGGGAAATTAATTACTATAATTTTTTTATGTTTTTGGTATTTTTAAATTACTTGATATTTTTATTTTTAATGTGTTTTATGATTTTTAATCTCAATCTTTGCCTATAATATACTATAAAAATAAATAAATACATAAAACTTAAATTTTAAAATTTATATAGAATAATAATAGAATAATAATTAATAAACAATATATACATATTCATTATATCTATTGCATTTTATAGTAAGTTTTTTTTAGTAGTTTAAAAAATTAAAATCATCAAAATAGCATTTTTCTTATCGTGTTGAAACAGGTTACCCACGTGTCACTCTCGTGTAAACCTGTTAAGGACCCTTTATTAACGGGTTATTATCGTGTGACCGGATAATGACCCGATTAGTTATCGTGTTGACCCGAAACCCGTTATTTTCGTGTCGTTTACGTGTCGTGTTAACGGGTCGTGTAATAAATTGCCAGGTCTACAAAATATGAAGGGATCTGAAAAAAGTAGTTAAGAATGTATAAAATCACAATCCAAAAAGGAAAAAAATAAAATAAATAAATAACAATATGGGCACCGTCGCATTATGTTGTGTATTAATGTACTACAACAAACAAATAATTTATGTATGTGCAATTCTCAATTCAATGAATCAAGTAATTAATGGTTCCTCATAAAATAAATAAATAAATAAATAAATAAATAAAAAAGGAAGGATAATACCACAGAGATTAAATTTGCAAATCAAATAATGTGTCATCAATAGGAAATAAGCAAGTTAATTAACACTTAGCAATAATTCAATAATAAACTTTCACATCATATGATTTATAAAATTTAGTTTAAAATTTTAATCTTACTAGCATTAAAAAAAATATATAAATTTTCAGAAAAATACTAAAAGTTGGGATCATTGCATGATCGAGCCGGTTAATTGTACGTTGAGAGTTTGAATTTTCTTCATTATCTATTTGCTTTTTCATTGACAAATCACATCCTAACATGATAATGACTTTGGTCAAATCGTGGCCATTCAACAACTAAGATATTTTCGGATCGAATGAGGATCCTCTTTAGATTTTTTTTTGTGAAAATTCCAAATATCTTCCAATCACATCTGTTCATCATACATTGTACGATCAGTTTTTACCATGTACTGTTTATATTTAATTTTAAATAAAAAATTACAATAATTTTTTATCGTCTCATGTACGATGAATAAATATAATTAAAAAATCGATAAAATTCTCACAAAAAGGATCCGAATATGATGCTCATTCTTTTGGAACGGTGAAAAAACGAGGATACTTTATTTTTCATGATCTTACCTTTTCTCTCTTCCGGTCCGGATCTGGTAGCAATTTGCATGCCTTGTGCTTATGTTCTGGTTTCCAACTGATCAATTATTATAACCATGATTATGATTACTTAACACTGTTACAATGTCCACCTTCTTATTTCTCCCCCTTCTATATATATACACCCCCAATTCAAAGTAAAAAGGGAGCAAAGTTATTTCCACACTTACCATTATTCCTAAAATAGCCTCAACAGGCCAATATTTTTTTTTACTTGAATCCACCCGGTTATCCATTCGTTAAACTCAATATTGAAGAATTTATTGGTAAGTTCATCGCTTCTCAATTTCGCAACCTTTTAAATCTATAAACTAAGCCTTCAAGCATCTAATTAAAACAAACAAACAAAACCAGATACAATTAATCTTTTGCTCTTTGAAGACCAACTTTAGTACGCCCTTTTATGGTTTATTAAACTCTTATCTAATTTTGTCGACCAAATCACAAAACCCATCTAAAGAGTACCTAAATTGATATCCGTGCTATTGCCGACAAACTCAAAGTTTTAATTTGTTACACGTTTCTCACCATTTGCATTTATATCATGAATCATTTCTTAAATTCAATAATTGTATAATATGTTTGCTCAATCGAATTTCTCTTCAATATTAATTGTGATGTGAGTTGCAAACACCTAAATGAAGCAGCAACTTAAATCTTGGATCTTTTGCTTGATTTTGAGTTGGGTTGTGAGGACTGGTGGTGCATCGGAAAGAGAGACACGGAGAAACTCTTTCTTTATATTTTATTATGTCTTCTTCTATGAAATTGTGCCATAAGGTAAACTTTTTATTAAAAATTTCATTAAAACGGGTGTGGAATAATAGACAATGAGTGATGGGACTGAGATCTTCGCTGGATGTCTTTTCTGCGGATTTGACGGACCCTTAAATCCTGGTCGTTCACGCAAATCAAACAGCCATAAATAAATCATGAAAACGACGCAGGAAGAAACTAGAAAGGGGCGAGGCTATTAACTACATTAAGAAAGAATCAAAGAGCAATAAGGATTGTAGGAAAATGAAGAACTTGAGAGAGAAATAATTAAGAAAGAAAGTAAACTGTATGAAGTGTATTCAGACTTGATGAAATGGATCCTCACAATTACAAAGCTTTTATACACACATATATCTAACTTAAAGTTTCATTCTTACACTTCTAACCGACTAACTAATCTTTTTAACAATTTAATAGTTTTAGTATGACATGACAATCTCATTAACTAACTAATGTTGAGCTGTCATTTATTAATACTCAACAAAGGCAACCTTGTTTCGTGTAAAAATAAATAAAAAGTTTATTTCTGATCGTTTGATTTGTGTGAACGGCCAAGATTCAAGGATTCGTCGGATCCGCATAATTAAAGAGACGTGGAGATGATCTGAGTCCGGGGTGGGCATAATTATGATTATTTTATTTATATAAAAAAAAATTCAGTTAATTTGACCACCCTTGAACTTTCCAAGTCATCCCCTTGCCGTAGAATGGTTGCCGCCAAAATATTTCGCCTAAGGTAGTGTTGCACATGTTGAATATTTGTTGGATCGAAAGTAATACCTCTTGAATTTCATACTAGAAGTTTTACAATTGCTTTAGTCTAAAGTAAGGTTTTCAATTGCACTGTTCAAATAAACAGTGACTTACGTGGATTTTGAGTTATTTACATAATTGCCACCCCTTCAACCATGCACGTGTCGACCATCATAGAAAGGGTGGGGATGGAAACGCACTTCGTTTTCGTTTGCTTCCTGAAACCCGAAGCTCCGATTGCATCCTAACAAGAGTTGGGGAACGGGTGTCCGTTGCAGAGAGATGGTACTAGCTGAACAGAGTTTCTCTCTGCAGTTCCTCTCCCACAGGCCTGAACCTCAACTATGGAGGGAAGCTTGCTTCTCTGTCTCAGCTGGTTCTCTTCTTCACCCCATTTAAAACCTCATCTCTCTTTCCCCTCTTCTTCTTCCTTGCTATTCGGATGATCCCACCTTCTGGGTTTAATCCCCATTTCTCTCTCATCCCTAACGTGTGCATGTCAGATCTCCGTCCCAAATCCTGGCCCAATAACACTTCAGAGGTAAAGTTCAACCTTCGTCCCGTTTAGTTCCTGTCCACAATGCAGATTAGATAAAGATGAATCAGAAATGTCTCATGTATGTATGTTCTCTGTGTAAGGTACCTCGATTAACGACGATGATATCGAAGAGCGGCTCAAATCACAAGTTCAAGGGCTGAAAATTGTGCGAATACCACGTGATTCTCAGATCCAAAAGGTAAGGTAAAAATCTGACACCTCCGAAAATGATTTGACAAGTAAAATCTTATATATTAAGTTGTCTTCTGCCCAAGTTTAAATATTTGGAAATGACCCAAAAAGGGTTAGGATTTCTCTAAGCTTCCTATGTAATACAGTAATAGTGTCCTGGATGCGTATGTAGGTTTGATATATGATGTAAAGAACATGTTCTGGTCTGAAAACAAAATTTATTGTTGATATATACTTACAAACATTATAATGAAGAAAGTGAATTATCAAGCGATAGAATCACAGAGAGTTCGAGGAGGAGGCGAAGGGTCCATCCAATCCTCGCGAAACTTCGATCCAACTACTAGAATTTTACTGTACAACCAACAACGGTCTCAACTCCTGCCATGGAACGAACTTCAACCGCTCCAATCATTCGGTACTCTGCCTTTGGCGTTAATCCTGATCCACAAAATCGCATTAGTTTGATGCACCGAAGAAGATGGCTAGTATCCAAATCAATGTAACATCACAACCTATTTTTACGACTCATTCAAATTTTGACATCATGAGTAAGCACATTAACCATAAACAATTCCACCTCAATACAACCAGATCAGTGAGCGAGTGGCAATGACGAAGGTGTACGGAACAGGGCCATACGATTTCAAGCGCCACCATGTCGCCGAGTACCCGCTCGAGTACCCGGTCAAGGCCAAGCCCGGTTCGGCGCTTCCTAGCTCGATAACGCTGTCGGAGATTCAGCTGGACCGGCTCACGATGATTGCCGCCGATAATTGGTCCAAAACTCTAGACGCTTCGAAGCCCAAGAAGCCCAGAACAGCAGCTTGCCATTTTAGCATGAGAAAAATAAATATTTTTCACCACTCCGTCGATTCAAAATCCCTAATTCAGAGACCCTATTCAAAATCCCTAATTCAAAAAGCCTTAATTCAGAAACCCAAATTCAAAATCCCTAATCGAATTTGGAATCAAACAATATGTATGAACTTTGGTTGAGTTTATTGTAGGAATTTCTTACCTTGTGCAGGGAGGAGGAGTGCGGACTAAGACCGAGAGCTCGACTCATGAGCCGTATTCAGGTGGTATGGGCAGTGGGTGAAGTAGCGATTCAGGTGATGGACTCACGAGTGAGGAATGAGGACTGGTGTGGGTAGATTCGAGATTCAGGCGACGAATTTGGGTGATGTCACTTAAGTGGGAGGAGAGAAAAATCGGCAAGGAGGGTGGTGAGGTTCAGGTACCGAGGTGAGGCTTGCGTTTTAGGTGAGAGAGAGTGAGGGTGTGGACAATTCCACCACTACTGATTGACCCGACTGACTAATCTCCTGGCACAAAGCTAGCCTTTATACTTTATGATGAAATGTTTTGTTTTGATATATGATGAGTCTATCATTTAGATTTGTTACTGAATTGAGTTAAGTGGATTTCTATACGCATAAAAAAAATTGTGGACATAAAAAGTTGAGACATAGACTTCTGAGTTGGTTTTATTTATATTCAACGGTTGAGATTAAATCTCAACCGAATTCGATAGCTGTTACAATTCCAAATATATATTTAAAAATTAAATAATATATATATTTTTTATTTCGGTTTGGTTCGGGATTACCGAATGAACGAAAACTTGAGACCGATTCCCGTACCGAAATTTTCGGGATTTTTGGTTTTGTATTTTTTTCGATTCGGTTTTGAGAATTTTTCGGTTTGGTTTGGGATATTAGATTTTTGGGGTTTTTTGAAATAGGTCCAAAGTAACTAAAAATTGGACCTATTTCAAAAGTCAAAAGTCACTAAAAATTGGACCTATTTCAAAATGTAGTCTATAAAATTGGACCTATTTCAAATTTCCCCTAGATTTTTTTTTCCACCCCTAGAAATATGAATAGCAGAGGATGTTGAAAATATCTTTTAGGGTTTGATAACTTTGTATTTTTTATGGATGTGAAAATATATGTGGAATAATACTATTAAATGAATATAAAACTATTTTTGACAAAAAAAAAAAAGGAGCAAAACTGAATCCTAAGTTAAAAAACAAAACAATATGACTTTGGTGTCAAAATTTTTACAATTGACACCAATGAATGGTGTTTGAAAAGGTTTAAGGCACCAAATTCAAACAATAGTGACACATACATTTACGAAGCCACTAATAGAGAATGGTGTCCTCAAATCAGTGCCCTATAGCACATTTTCTAATAGTGTTGACCTACAGTTCCTGTTTAGATGCTCAGAGAGATAGGAAATTGCAATTTACTTTTGGATATGCATTATAAGAAACTCTAGTTTACAATTGGATTTAATTCTTTGCTGATGGTATGTTGTGATGGGGTTTAGTAATTTTCAGTATTCTACAATTATTTTTAATCTGCAAAATCAAATTACCCGTGGAATTTATGATATACAATCAGTTTCTTTTTAGTTGGGTTGAAATGATATTGATTGTGCTGTTATAGAGCTCATTTTTATAGTTAGGTTGAAAATCATATTAAAAGATTCTTTATTTGGTTGGTCCGATCTGTAACAGATTGGATTGTTTTGTTTGATGTTTGAATCAAAATTTGATCTTTTTTTGTGTGAAATTATAATGGAATCGCAAATTTGTCAGGTATATCTTAGAATATTGGTTGCATATTCACCTTCCCATAACTATTATATTGTCTCTTGACTGGATGGATTTTTATAATTTCCAAGATCTACGGTTGCAATGCTTTTGATGCATGCAATAAAGAGGAAGCTACTACTTTTATGGAGCTTCTTTGGCATGGTAAGTTGAAGTTGCAACTCTTTTTTTTTTTTTTTTTTTTTCATTGACGGAATTAATTATCTTGCTATCTTGGCAATTAACAGTGTCTGACAATTGGTAAAGTGTATGAATAAATGTGTGGAAGTTTGAATTATACAAATGAAAGTGAATTTTAACAACTCTAACTTAGATTTCTTATTAATTTGATAGGTGTTTCTTTCATTTGTTCGACTATTTTACTTTTTTGGTATATACGTACAACTATTGATCGAAAGCCACAAAAATTACCTAACGGACGAGAAACTGGTTGTGTTAGAAGAACAGAATATGATGCAAAGCTCAAATTTTGGGCACTTAAATATATGTTTTTTTTTTTTCAATTACAATTACTCGCATGAAAATTCAATTGGATTTGTTCTAGTCTCCAATAATTTTTCTTTGTTTGGTTACCGATTAATTTATGTGGCGGGAGTTTAGTTTTTACTTTTCTGCCTATGTATGTATGATTTGAAATGGACAGTTCAATTTGCTATATATAAATTTGTATGTACAATTCTCAATTCAATGAATCAAGTAATTAATGGTCCCTCATAAAAGAAAAAAAAGAAAGAAGGATAATACTACAGAGATTAAATTTGCAAATCAAATAATGTATCATTAATAGAAAATAAGCAAATTAATTGACACTTAGCAATAATCCAATAATAAACTTTTACATCATTTAATTTACAAAATTTAGTTTAAAATTTTGATTTTGTTAGCATTAATATATATATATATATATATAAATTTTCAAAAAAGTACTAAAAGTTGGGGTCACTGCATGATCGAGCCGGTTAATTGTACGTTGAGAGTTTGAATTTTCTTCATTATCGATTTGCGTTTTCATTGACAAATCACATCCTAACATGATAATGACTTTGGTATGGCCATTCTTCTTTCTTCCTTCATTTCTACTGAGAAAAACGTTTCAATGCTCCATTTTGACGACTCTATTTTTTTTTTCCTTTAGTTTAAGTGCACTCTCCCTTGCGAGATTATTAAAGATGGAAGATCATTAGCACTTTCGTTAGCAAGTTAGCTAGGGTGGTTGTTCATCAGCGGATTCCCCTTTTGTTCTTTGCGTTTGTTTGCCCTCACTAAGTTGGACTGGACTGGACTGGACTAGCTATTAGTCCAATACTGTGTTTGTTCCATGCTGGGACTAACATTAATGAGACTAAAGGGGATTAGCATGGACAAAACCCTTCACTAAGAGGTCTTAGCGAGACCCCCCAATAACCATGGGACTAGCTAAGACTATCCATCTTTCTCGTCCTCGTCATGCTCAACGACCACTCTCGACAGACTCCTCGTCATCTCCGATCACCTAGATCAATCATTAACTTTCCGACTCTCTTTCAAATCCATTTCACAACCAACTTTCATACAAAATATACCAAATTGAAGTTGGGAGTGACAAGATTACAATTTTACCTAAATCGAGGCCAAAATGTGGTCGAATGTGGCTGGAAAATGGCCTGGAAGTCTCGGCCTGTTTGGGCTTCTTCAAATCCATGACAGATTCGAGCATTCAAAGCTAAGATCTTGGTCCAGAGATGGTGATGAATTTTTTGGCGGTGCTAACTTCATCCAATTTAACGAGGAAATGGTAGGAAAAAATGAAGAAAAAGATAAGATCATAATAAAATATTAATAATTTATATATTAAATAATATAATATTATAATTTGTTATTATGCAGCTTCTTAGTCCAATACTGCACCAAATGCTTCACTAAGTTAGTCCAGTTTAGTCTAGTCTAAGCCAGTCCAGCTTAGTCCTTGAAGCTAATCCAGTCCGAGATAGTCCGGCGCAACAAACGCCCCCTTAGCTGAAAGGATAATATATGAGATATGGTAGGAATACTGAAATTAGTCAAATTAGACAGAAGATGATGAGTAAAGTTGGGTACTAACTACTAAGGTCATTTTCAACCAAAATGGCTAAATATGGTTCCATCATGAATTATAGTTGTGTAATTTTTTTTTTAAAATAAATAGTATGAGAGCATATTCATATACCATTTCTAACTGAAAGAGCTAAGTACAGTCCATCAATAATTTATTGGTTTTAAGTTTTTTCTTTGAATTTATTGATTAATTTAATTAAACTACTACTTATACCATTTTAAAATAAAGTTATTCGAACATTATTTTTGTGTGTCAGGTGAAGGACAACGTTAAAAAGAATTTTCACAAGAATTTCAACAATTTATCAGTGATAATAAAAAAGATTAATGGTTAATTCCTCATGATTATAATTACAGGAAATAGGGATGGCCTAGCAAACCTAATTTTGGGACTTTGTTAAGTAAAGTTGGGAATGGCACATAATATTGTACATGGTCCTCAGACATTTTCACGATGCATACGAGACTCACGTCAAATCCTATTGTGATCCCGCACGTTTGTTTTTTGGTATGCTGCGGGAAACCGGACCGGCAAGACTTTCAAAAACAACGAGTACAACTTTGAAATTTTCATCGAATGACTAGTGACTACTTACTATAAGAAGGAAAAGGATCATTTTCGATTATTGGTATTAATTCCACTCCATGCATCGTCCTTTTTCACCTACATACACAACTAAGAGCATCTCTAAAGGAAATGTCAAAATATAAATGTTAAATGTTAATTTGATGGCTAACATGACAATGTCAAATTTTCTTTTTTTTCCAACCGATATGTTTCTTTATTATAAATGATATTTGTAAGATGCATTTAAAAAAAAAAATCAATTAAAATACATTTTCAAGATCTATAATTAGTGAATTAATGGGATCCACATAATAAAATAATTAAAAAAAATTTGACATCACCTTTTCACATTAGTCCACAATGAACCCAGTCTGAAAAGTCATTACAAATTGTACCATCTTAATCACAATCAGCATCCCTTATGCACAACATGGTAAAGTCTTTTCACGTTCCTTGTCACATTAGTCCATAAAACAACAGAGGATCTTTAATCCCAGCTTTACCGACCAAGCGAAAGCAATCCTTATCCAGAGGATTGCATGGGATCTTCATTTGAACTTGAGCAGCCTATCTTCTGGCATCGGCCATGATTGATCCTAATGCAATAATACCATGACAAAATCACAATAATAATCTCTCAAAATCTAACGTGTAAAACCGGAATCCTTTCTTCATCCGACAGCCTTAATTATATCGGGCGATGGTGTTAAATCGAGTCTAAACAATTAGAGATTAAACCATGCTGAACTCTAGTTTTGTCAAGCTCTTGTGATAAGGATGCTCCAATGCATATGCGACTGCTGAAGCTTGATGTGTTAGTGTTGAAGAACAATGTATGAGTTATAATTTTAGTCTTGAAAAGGCTCAAGAGTCAAGAGTACGTAGAACAAATAACGACAATAATTGAATGTGAAACAGAAAGTCCAATTTTTGTTACAGAACTTATAATGCGTTTTTGGATGCATAAAATTGGTTTAATCATATACATGTATAAGTCACCTCCGAGAGGATGTCGTTCTCTCGAGTTCTCCAGCCCTCCTTCTGCACCGCCACCCAATCCAACGTCATTAGCAGTAGGAGCATTGGCGCCATCTCCACCGACCTCTACAAAGAGCGCAACCTCAAACGCCTCGTTGAGAAGTT